GTATTATACATGAGATCGTATTATACATGAGATCGTATTATACATGAGATCATGCTATACATGAGATCATACTATACACGAATAAATACGGTACCTAAATTTAATTATGACAACATAATGGTTTATACATGGCATAAAAATATCTAAATTTAAATCGGGCAGTAATCTTTATTTATACACTTTGGCTGATTTCCCTGCAGATTTGGCTGCGTATAAAATACAAACTGTATCCCTGCTATAACTAAGTTGTTAGCTTAACGGAGCATGCAGATAATTTCTAACACATTGTGTATTTCAGACATTCTGTTGACTCTTGAGTCTGCCTGTTACCTGCATGGCTCCTTGCATGTGTCTGTGTAAAGTTGAGACTTCTGATGTGTAAGCTCGTACTAGTTGATGTTTTTTATTTGCTTTAGTGAATGGCTCAATGCCTGCCTTCTCTGTTGCTGCTGCTAACCCCCCAGTCCTGCCCCCTGCTGTGCCTGCACGAGATACTAACCCCTGGGCTAAGAACCCAGGAGGGGTCCCACCCATGGCACAGTCAGGTAAGTAGCTCCTCATCTGAAGACACTGATCATATTTTTATTTTCATCTGGCCAGTCTGATCACAGGTGAAGCAATAAATACAATTAAGTGTGTTCTGAAAACACAAAGATGCCTTCAGCTGTGTGCTTAGCAGTTTGAACACAGATGTGTTCTGGGTTACATGAATGAACCTAACCTGATTCCCAAAGACTAGAATTTCCACCCAGATACAGAAACACCCGAGAACATGGCCGATGATGTAAAAAAGGAACGAGATGGAAGTAGGAGGGTATAAAAGTGCAGGTCATAAATTAGATATCATGAAAAGGTTGATTTGTTTCAGTAATTCCAGTCAAAAAGTGAAACGTGTAATGTTTATTTCTTTTAATTTTGATGATTATTACAGACAACTAATGTAAAACACCAAATTCAGYATCTCAGAAAATTAGAATATTAAGATCAATACAAGACAAGATTTTGAAACGAGTGAAGGAGTGTGACCTACTGAAAAGTACGAACATGTAAAATACGAACGTGTAAAGTACAACCATATAAAGTACGAACATGTAAAGTGTGAACGTGTAAAGTACGAACATGAAAAGTACGAGCATGTAAAGAGCRAACATGTAAAGAGCGAACATGTAAAGAGCGAACATGTAAAGTACGAGCGTGTCAAGTACGAGCGTGTCAAGTACGARCRTGTCAAGTACGAGAGTGTAAAGTACGAGCTTGTCAAGTACGAGCATGTAAAGAGCAAACATGTAAAGTACGGGCATGTAAAGAGCGAACATGTAAAGAGCGAACATGTAAAGAGCGAACATGTAAAGTACGAGCGTGTAAAGTACGAGCGTGTAAAGAGCAAACATGTAAAGAGCGAACATGTAACGTGCGAACATGTAACGTGCGAGCGTGTAAAGTACGAACGTGTAATTTGCAAACGTGTAAAGTGCAAGCATGTACAGTACGAACATGTAAAGTACGAGCGTTTAAAGTACTAGAGTGTAAAGTACGAGCATGTAAAGTACGAACATGTAAAGTGCGAACATGTAAAGTGAGCGTTTAAAGTACTAGAGTGTAAAGTACGAGCATGTAAAGTATGAGCATGTAAACTGTGAACATGTAAAGTACGAACATGTAAAGTACGAACATGTAAAGTATTAGCGTGTAAAGTGCAAGCATGTACAGTACGAGCATGTACAGTACGAGCATGTAAAGCACGAACATGTAAAGCACGAACATGTAAAGCGCGAGCATGTAAAGTACGAGCATGTAAAGTACGAGCATGTAAAGTACGAACGTGTAAAGTATGAGCGTGTAAAATATGAACGTGTAATTTGCGAATGTGTAAAGTACGAACATGTAAAGTGTGAACGTGTAAAGTACGAGCGTGTAAAGCACAAACATGTGAAGAGTGAACATGTAAAGTACGAACATGTAAAGTACGAACATGTAAAGTGTGAACGTGTAAAGTGGGAACATGAAAAGGTTAAAAAAAACGTATGTGAATGTTTCCATATCAGGTTTTCAAAAATTTTCACTTATTAAATGTTATACATAATTTTTCACTGCAAAAAACTGTTAGAACATCAAATGAGATGAGCTGATTGAATTAATTACAGTATTTTAAAAGTAATATACAAGTTGTCTGTAATGTTACTATGCAGTTAGTACTTGTGTACCCAGGTACTGTATGTCAGTGTGATTTCATGTTGCTGAGAATAAATTGAAGCTGAAAGCTCACAATTTGAACATTTACCATAATTTAAACTAATTGATCGACCATATTGCAAATTATTGCAGGTTAAATAAACAACCATTATATTTCCAATTGTTAATGACCACTAAAAATATTATTTTATTTAGCTTCTGCCTTATATATACAGTATGTATCTTTTTTTTTTTTTGTGCTGATAAGCCTGAGTGGTCTGTTGACTGACCTTTGTATTTGTTCAAATAATTGTTATGGGCAGGTTACAATATAAAAATGTTTGTTATAATCATGTCTTGTGATTATTTGACAGGAGTTTTACTTTTAAACTGTAAGTGTATTTTATTTAGTTATGTTAGTTTGATTATTATTGATTATTTAGTTATGTTAGTTTGATTATTATTGATTA